AAGGAACAGTAGAAAATAACATTAAAAACAAACAGCAAAAATTTTTATCGCACCTTAAACCCAATTTTGTTATCAAGACATGAATGCCAATCATCCTTCATTTGTCTTAGAGGAACTCGGTCATGTGGTCTAAAACAAAGATACCGATCTCATCAATATAAACAAAAAGAAAAACCATAACCAAACCATAAATTTCCCTGAACAGCTCTAGAACAAACTACCTTTTCGGTCCAGAAACACAAGGTTCAACACCAGCAAGGTCCAATTCCAGATAAGATGAATACACTCTCTCCTGTTGAGGCTGGCCAAAGTTGAACACACCAAGCAAAATCAGATTTTATGCTTTGATCCACTTATATCACCTTAAAATGTATGAAACTGAGAGATTCTACCTCGCTGTAGTCGACAAACATCTTGTTTGAGCGCAAATATCCTTCTATCATTGCCACCTAAAATAATTTGAAGCAAAAAGCCACCAGAAAGCATCTAAATTTTCTTGTTGAAACCACAAAAATGAATAGACTGAGATCACAGAACTTACTGTTTCATCACTTCTCCCAGTTAATTTAAGGTATTGTAATGTGACATGATCCACAGGGAAGAAACCCATGGTTGCTCCATACTCAGGTGACATATTTGCAATAGTTGCCCTATCGGCCAACGATAATTCAGCCATACCAGAACCTAAACACCCATATTCTGTTAGTACTAAACTGTAAACATATAACATGAACAACCCAAGAAATACTTGAAGAGGTATATTTACCATAAAACTCGACAAACTTGCCAACAACACCATGCTTTCTCAACATTTGGGTCACTGTTAAAACCAAATCAGTAGCTGTGACACCATTGCGCAACTTTCCGGACAATTTAAATCCAACAACACCAGGTAAAACCATGCTCATTGGCTGTCAGATTTATAAGAAATCAAAGTCCTGTGTCATGCCTTATTCAACAAACAAGTTCAGACATTCCTAGTTTGTCAAAACAACTAAATCTAACTTGACAACTCCAGTAAAAGATGATAGAACAAAAGGAGATCCAACTACCTGCCCAAGCATAGCAGCCTCAGCTTCAATTCCTCCAACACCCCAACCAGCAACTCCTAGTCCATCAATCATTGTTGTATGAGAATCAGTTCCAACAACACTATCAGGATAAAGAATGCCATCAGTGTTGAAGACAACCCGTCCAAGGTACTCCAAGTTAACCTGAAATATTGCCATAAGAGAAGCGTGTGGTCAAGTTTTCATGAACATGTTAACAACGTAAGGACAAAATTAAAAGCTAAACTATTTACAAGTTCCCCAAAACTATTTCAGCCTAAGTAACAATTCAAATATCTATTAACTTTATGCCCCATTATCATTAATAAACAAAAAGTCGCGTGAAAAACCTTCACACCAACTCCAGATAGAGTTGAACAACATTTTATAATCTATGTCAGACTTTTACCTGGTGGACAATACCAGAACCAGGAGGAACAACAAGCATGTTATGGAAGGCAGTGGATCCCCACTTAAGGAAGGCAAACCTCTCATTGTTCCTCTTGAATTCAAGGTCCATGTTTGCCTGCACTGCATTCTCATGTCTTGCAACATCAACTTGAACTGAATGATCAATAACAAGGTCCACAGGTACCTGTAGAATATATCTCATCTTAGACCTGATGACAAGGAATAACAGGATAGCAATACTTTTTTGTTATCTGAAAAGTCAGGCTGCAATATGCAACTATGAAGCGAAGTAAACAACAAATAAACAAAGACACCCGAACACACCACCCACTGTCATAACACACATATTACAGCAGAACAAGTGGCCATTGAAGTCAAAAATGGAACTTAAGGAAGGACGGCTGAAGAAAGAATACCACAGAGTACAGGTTAAAGGATAGCTTAGAACATTCAAGCTAGAGGGTGACAAATCCCAGTAACACAGGGAAAAAGAATAAATATGTACCAAGGGATTGATCTTCTCTGGGTCACTGCCAAGACTCTTTATGGCATCTCGCATGGAAGCAAGATCCACCACAGCTGGAACACCAGTAAAATCCTGAAGCAAAAAGAGAAAAAAATAGTGTTCCAAAAGTTTACTGCATATATTTTCTGATTAAGTTACTAAACTCATGCCTCTAACCTGCAACAAAACTCGGGCTGGCTTGAAGGGAATTTCAACTAGCTTTGGTGAAGTATTTTGCCAATCAATGATCTTCTCAACATCATTCTTGGTGACTTGGAAGTTGTCACAATTACGTATAGCAGATTCCAAGAGTATCCTAATGGAATATGGAAGCTTATCTGTATCCAAATAAGGTTTTACATTGTTAAGGAAAATGAGAGCCTTTTCTCCTCAAAACAAGAAACCTTAAATATTGTACTAATGAAAATTTACTAATGACCTTAGTCAATTAGCGAAAAAATCCCACTAGGTATATCAGGTTGAAATATGACAACTTTGTTTACAAATAGGCCAGGAGACAGAGATACCTAAGGGAAGAGAAGAATAATAATGCCAGAATAAAACAAATAAATTTCTACCGGAAAAGACAAGCCAAGATACCCTGATAACACATGAGAATAGTACGACTAGGAGCACATACCAATTCTGGGATCATTTAAAGCAGGAAGGCTATAGAACTTTCCAAAGTCACCACCTCCAGGCTTGGGTAGACTGGTCAATATTCCCTTATAAGGATGTTCAGGAGCTGGAACATAAATCAATAAAACAATCACCACAAAGTTAAGTTCAACAGGCTAAATTGTGGCAATATTATTCAAGTAAGCTTAATTAGGCAATTGAGGTAAATAAAGGTGAAACCACGCAGTTGTCATTGTCATCCCAAGATAATAAGACTTGAAGGGGAGAGAGAAAAATGAAACAGAGCAAATAACTGCAAAAAGCTAATATCCTATACTAAGGCAGCAACAATTACAGCTCTTCATTTTAAAACAATAAAGAACAAAACCTTTTTTTTCAAAGACAAATCAAATGTAGGTACACAAACGTACATTTCAAGCTGGTTCACTTCAGCATGTAAGTTTGACGAGGAAAAACAGTTGTGCATAAAGTAAAGCCTTTTTTTTTCCAAAGAGTATCAGATGCAACCCAATAAACCAACTTTTACAAGTAAAACTCCAACTTTTCACACGAATGGCAAATTCGACTAGATGGATAACAATTCATCCAACCCGAAATGAATAGCAGACATCAATTAAGCACGAAATAAACTCATGATCAAGCAAACCACACAAAAACCTTTCCACATGAGGAACCGAAGAAATACATTAGAATCAAGCTAAATTGAAATTGAGTTAATAACTCGAGAAATTTGATTGAATTATACCCATAGTTGCGATCTTTCGCTCGAAGCGTTCGATGACAGGAGCAGCAGTTCTGATCTGAGCTCTAAGACTGACAGGCGATCTCCAGTCAACGCCGTGACTCCACCGAGGACAGAGCAACGAAGCGATCGAACCGCCGACGAAGGTTTAAAAGACCGACAAGTGATAAACGACGACGGTTTGGATACCGAAGGAGAAACGAAGCTTCTGGAAACAGAAGAGAAAATAGAAGATGGTGATGATGATGAAATTGTAGATGCAAAACGAACCCTAGCAGCTCTCAAGATTGCAGCAGAAGCAGATTTGACACTGACGATGAAGGTGAGCATGTGGGTACATACATGACGGGAGAGCATCCGGTTTGTCAGAGTGTCAGTGAACCCTAAATAGAAAAATCACAATGGGGGAATACAACTTCAGGTTTCTCTCTCTCTCTCTCTTTTTTTTTTTTTTTTTGCGTTTATTTATAGATACTGATTTTTGTATGTATAGGCTCGTTGAAGGAGGATCGACAGATTGTTCACTTCGCTTGGCTGCTTCTGCGTGGAAATGGATATCAGGATAGAGAATGGAAGGGTTTTGATAAGGTGCTGCAGCAGTGTGGTTTTGGAATGCAATTGGTAATCATGGACCATAGGATGAAGAGTGATGGGATAAGAGACGGTGTGGATGAATTTAGGTGGTGTTCCCCGTGAAAAGGGGGGAAAATGGAAAAAGTACGCCTTCTTATTTTAAGTTGTTTATAGAGTAATTTGTAGATGCTATGACTAATTATACACACCCTAGGTGTGTGATTGTTTTAAAAAAATGAATGATTTATTTTTCACACAAGTACATATTATGATAGACATGCATGGGTTTACTGAAAAATCTATAATTATTACTTTTGCTTTGGAGGATATTATTGTATTTAAAGTCATGTTGAAAAAAAGAAAGAAAGAAAGAATGTGAATAGTTTTAAAAAACTAACGTTAATGGGATATTTTTGATATAACACAAAGTTACCTAAATTATTTACAAGTTCTCCTCCGTAATATATATATTACGCACGTATATACATATATATATATTCATCATTCTACATGCATGTATGTAGATGCACGCCGCGCGCACACACACGTATAGAATGATGATTATACATAGTAAGATATTAATGATCATTTTCATTTCTTTATATTTGAGTGGGTGGGTGTGAATTTATGTGTATTTTTTCAGTGTAATTAATTCTACCCAAACTTTTATTCATTGATATGCTTAATCACATGCACTTACAATCTATTTTTGCAGTGCACCATGTTTTCTATAGGCTACTTCTTCAAATGCATATGACCTCACAATAAATCAAAATTAGGTTAGCCTCTATAGTTAAAAAGATAAATTTATTTACGAATTAACCTTATGATTATTTGATCAATAACTGTTGTGTTAAAAGAAAAAGTATTGGTCAAAGCAAAACATTCGCAACTAATTTAGGTCAGGCGTGTTTGGATAGCCTTTTATTTCTCAAAGAATTATTTACTTGTACCACAAACATATTTTTTAACACACAATTTTATCTAGTCAATCACCTTTTTTTATCTCACGTGTAAAAAGGACTTGGTCTGCTGCACAGGCATGGTTGATCAGGTTGAGGCATAATTGTCGGCATAGTAGTTGCAGGGAAGAGATGATTCATCGCCACTGTAACAAACGATTTACACTACTGTAAAAGGGCAAATACACATTCAGCCTCCCAGTTAACTAGAGAGCTCAGAAAATTCATGTCATTGTCCATGTAATTGTAAGGGTCAAAATTTTGGCGTTAAAACCCCCTTGGAAATAATTGAAAAAGACGATCTTTGAGGAGCAAAAATCACAAAATGACCACCCATCATCACTCGATGGTAAAGCATATAGTAGTATCACGTAGTCATGTTGGAGGTTGCCATGTCCCTGGTCTGAACGATTCACCTGTTCCCGTAGGCTCGGAAGAACTGAAACAACAGTTGTGTGGGTCAAAACATTTTGAGTATAGAAGATGATGATTATGCTATTTCACATGAAATCAGTAAAATAGATCATCCTAGTTTCAAATAATAACACGTCACTAATATGGACTTTTTTGTTCACAACTTTTGAGTTGCCCGCTCTTAAAAGTCCACTGATGTCGAGTAGACAAAATCTTGGCAATAGCACAATGGCAGGCATACACGAAATGAAATGGAGGAGTAGAAACACACTAACTGAATGAACCAGGAAACTTACTCTTCTTGTTTTTGTCTAACTTCATATGGTGGTTGCTTCTCTGAATCAGTTGCTTTGGAGGCCCTGTGACCACAAAGGCATGCCAAAAGGGAAATTTCAGGATCAGATGTACATCCGTGCAACGCTAATTGACAACGAACAAATAAAGAACAAGATAGACTTGTTGCGGGTTTAATTTCAATTCACTTGGACCACATCATTAACAGGTGCATATACAATCGACTGACCTCCCTGATGCATCAAGTGCTTCCCCACGTCCATCACCTTCAAGAATAAAATAACACAGGGAAAAAGTAAGAGACATGGCATATTCTCATGAAAAGAAAGGAGATATTAGCAGACGAGTAAGGTCGGAGGATGGAAGCAATCATGCTCAATAAATAGACAAATGCAGAACCAGATTACAGAATTGTTCATTCTCTGCATCCTCTCTTCTCTCAAGACAGTGGTTCTTTAGTAAGTATATGAAGAAACATGTATATCTAACTCTCGCAGTTTCCAAATTTTATAGAGGGCACAGGGTTATGCAAGGAGTAAAAGGACTGTAGGCATAGAAGCTAACTAATACTGGAAAAGATGCAAGATGGAAGTGATAGCAGACAGCAGAGTTTAGACACTGGGAAGTAGTTCCAGAAAGTTTATCTTCCTACAGCTGGCTTAAAATGTCTGTCAAGCAAAGCTTTTGTCCATTTATTGGATGGAAAGTTCAACTTAAGAAACGAAAGTTCAGGGACTTAATTTCAAATCCAAAGAAGAAGGCTTAGGATGGCACGTATCTTGAACTCCAAAGCCGACTAGTGAATTTTGCATTCTGCCCAATATATTAATAGTTTAAACTTTGCATTATCCATGCAGAATTATCCCCTCAGCTGTGGGCTAATTATTGGTCATTACAAGTATAAGAAAGCAAGTTCATAACAGCGCCTAATGTTATAAAAAGGACAACCAATTTAACAATTAAAATGGTAAAACAATATTGGCTACCTTCTGAAGTAACTGGGAGCTGCCGGATAAAACTCTTCAAGTCTGGCCCTACAACTTTACCTATACCAATGATAGCCTTCTGTGAGTTTAGTACAATAACACCATGTGAAAGTATACAAGAAAATGCGTGGCTTACCAGTCTTAGCAGCTTCTTGACTAAGACCTTTGGCCCCCCTTTCCTCCTCTTCTTTCTTGAGAACTTAGTGCAGTAAAATATTTGTTAAGCACTTGCTTTGGTGAAAAACTATATCACAACAACTTCAATTTTTTGAAATCTAATTAAGAAGATTAAGCTCATCATAAAAACCTGGAGATGCTGATTTTTTGAATCTAGGAACAATAGTTCAAAATTACAACACATTTTATATTCTTTTATGGACAAATGCAAGCTTATTATTCCATGAAAACCCTGCAGCACTGACCATTTAGCGTTCTGCCATAACTTACTCAGATATGAAAAGAATCACCTCACATTAGACTGTTCCGGGAAACATGAAAATATATAGCATGAGCTATTACTCATGGTTGATTGAGAAGCTCTTTTCTCAGATTCTATCACATGCCAAAGTTTCAGATACAAGGTTATGGGAAGTCAAATCCAGAAAAGATAAGCACTGATGGAAGTTGAAAGAGATTACACAAATTATACTTACGAGCAACATTGAGTCTAACACGTTCCCGTCTAGCCTCAAGCTCAGCCATTTCCTGACAACCAATTAATAATCAACTAAATGTTTCTGTTCTCTTTCAACTTCTAGTACATGATGTATGGAGAACTTCTAGAATATCCCCTGAAGATAAAAACAAAGACAGCGGTATATTGTCCACATAGAACATAAAAAATTTCTAATAGAAGAAGACTTTCCTACCCTATTCACCTATTGACAATCGAAAGGATGGGAACAGCACTTTCAGAAGAGAAGTGACCTTCAGTTTGCTTAGCATCATATGAAACAAAAGACAGACAAGGTTGCTTAATTTACCTCAGGCGTAGGAGTTATCTTTCGCTGTCCATTCAGCCAACATATCCATTCGACTACAATGGTTTAAGCATAAAATGACTGATTATGAGAACAAAATGTGGAGAAGCAAGGTGCTTGTGATCATAAAATTGAACAACTTCACCAACTTAAAGTAGGAAAATCAAGGATTCAGGTTTATAAGTGGGTATGGAAAAGCAGAAGCATTTTCCCTCAATAAAGAATTCCTCAAATTTAGCATATCATTGTAGATAATTAACACATTAAACAACAAGTTCCATTCACCCCGATAATTTTAAAATAATCCAAGAAAATAAGCCACACAATAAAGGAAAGTAACAAGAACAATGCTCTGTCCGAAGAGATATACCTGGAACTGAAGTTGGTTCCTGCTCTCCTTTGAATACCACCCATCGTTTCTCTTTCACTGATGCAGTCACATACGTAGACATAAGGCCAAGCACATTTACAATTTCAATTTGCAAAAAAGCTGAAGAAACGGCATTGCAGCTACATAATATTAACAGAGAGCCAACAGACTTCCTCAAGCTAGTAGTTTATCTCATTAAACTATCTACACGTTCCGCCAGATCATGCAGTACAATAATCTGATGATAGCAGTTTCCAATAACTAAATGAGTGTGGAAAAGAACTACTAGCACCATGATATTAAGCTTCACTAAAACTCAAAGTTCCCATCTTTGTAGGCCTTACTGCCAGGACATCTTTTGGCCTAAAATGGCGACTAAAATAATTGGACAAACACCGACGAAAATCAAACTTTTCTGCGTCCTATATCACACCTTGACCAGTTTCATTTCATCTATACTTTAGTTCAGCTTTTAAATCAAAGTTCTTCAAGCAGCATTTCAATAAATAAAAAAAATAAAGGAATCAGCAAGAATGTGTGCAAATTCCTCCCAAAGTTCCCAATTCATACATCGAAATTCACAAAGTTCCAAACTTATTAATACATGTCCAAATACCATATGCTTTATGCCCATTCATTTACTAAAATTATATATATTGCCAAACTAGCACAAAGTGCGAGAGAGGAAAAAAAAAGGAAGAAGAAAGGACCCACTTACTGACACCATCAATTTCTTCCATTCGAGTAAAGTATCGATTCCCAGCTTTGTCCATTCCCGCCATAGTCGATTTCTGAATAATCCCACAATTTTGCCCAATCTCGACATCCTTTTTCTTTTTCGATATTAATCAGCAGTAATCAGGAAATAAATGGTTCTTCAACAGCTTCTTCTGCTTTCTGCTTCTTCTGGACTCTCAACCATAAGCTTCTGTTTTCCTTCCTGAAACCTCAAGAAAGGAGTTCGAACCCAGGTGACTTCAAGTCTTGAATATTGTGTACCACATAAGACAGTGTTTGGAAACAACCTGAAACGTTAACTTCTGCGTTAACTATTGTAATCAGCACTTTTCATGCTGCTCCATTCCTATTCCTATGGATCAAAATCACTTGATTCAACGTAAACAAATCACCCGAAGTATGTTCTCTTGCTCTTCGAACTCCATAATTACAAAATAATCAAGAACAGATGTCATTGGTCCCAGTATTGGGTAGAGTCTGGGGTTGGGTTTGTTCTCAGTATCGCTGGTATCTGCCAAACAGTTCCATAGCTGGAATCCCACATCGGATAACAGAACAGTCTGGACTTCTTCAAATCTCAGAGAATGAGCAATCTGCCCGCCGAGCCTGTAGCGCGGGCTTGTAACCAAGCGGGGGCATAGAGTGATGGAACATTGGTCCGACTAGAGGGTAGGGTTGAGAGCGCTATTTACTAGTCTGCCCACTCCAAGCGGAGAGCTGGGCCGCGTAATCTTGGCGAAGGCTGATGTTTCACGGTCCCTAAAGAGTGGACACTGCGCGAGGCTGGCTTAACAGAGCAGCGAAAACCACCCGCTCCTTGCAGTGGAGGGACTACAGGCTGGTGCGCTCCTGGCCCATCATTGCCCAATGGGCGGCCCAAATTGGACCATCACTCTTTTAATCATCCAATTTTTCCTTTTAAATCTTTTTTCTAGATAAAGGGAGGGGGAAATTTATGCAGCAATTTTTCTTTTAAAATATGTCTTCCAGATAAAGGGAGAGAGGGGATTTAGTGGCAGCAAAAAAGAAAAGAAATCTAAATCTAGATCCTCTTATTGAAAAAGGGCAAAAGAATGACGCCTTTCAACAGTTTGTTTCAATCTTTCATCCAGATGAAGAGAGGGGTAGGATTTATGCCACAGGAAAAAAATAAATTTGAATTTAGGTCCTCTAAATTCTAAGGGCAGCTAATTTTCTAATTATTGAAAAAATTGAAAAATGTCTTTCAACTGCTTGTTTAAAATGTCTTTCAATTACTTTTTTTTTCTGCAACGATAACATTAACATTCCTATAAGTTAATCATTTTCATAGTCTTTTAACTACTATTTCAATCCATTTTTCATTTTACAGGTGTTTGGTGTTTGAATTGAGTAACTATCTAGAAATTTGTTCTTCTTTTGGTGATATGATTGTGCATACAAAATAGAAAGTGTGATCTAAAACCATATCTAGAAAATAGTAACAAAACATTTTTTAAAAGTAATCAATTATCCAAACATAGGAGATGAATTTCTAGAGAAAGCTTTCCCAGCAAATGTTGCACACGGGACTCAAACGATGCAAATATTAGTCAATTGTTAAAATTTTGGACATTTGGACAAACATTAGGCCCATGATTGAAAAGTTTAGGCCCAATTTGTGCTTAGTCCAATTTCAATCCTCTGTCACAGTCTCACTACATCTTCCACGGTTTCACCTGAACTGTTAAAAGAAGATCTAAAACCAATTTGATAGCCGCTGGCCGGAATTTCATCTCCGGCGGGCGTTCAACTATTTCATTATTTGGATCTTCTTTTACCATTCTCTCTCCCAAGCAAAACAGTTCAAAATCCAACTTCAAATTCCAAATATCTCCAAAATCCCCAAAAGCTCGATCTTTCTAATCTTAAACCCTCTATTTCTTTTGCTGCATCTTCTTGTATGAAACCTGTAACGTGCAAACTATGATGTCTTGCTCCAACATATCAACAACGGTCTCCTTAAAACCTTCAATTTGTGACCCCTCTTCAATTTCTTCCCATCTCAGCTCAACCCCCATCGCATATTAAATTATCAAACAATTACAGATACAAAAAGGTTTGATTTTTATCATATTTCGAGAGCGCCCCTTATTCAAAATGGCCTCCGTGAGCTCAGGGAGCGGATGGAAACAGTAAAAAACACCCAAAAAGTGACAGAAGCAATGATGCTAGTTGCAGCTGCAAAAGTGCGGAGAGCCCAAGAAGCAGTAATCAATAGCAGACCATTTGCAGAGGCCCTTGTTGAAGTCTTGTACGATATCAATGAGCAGCTTCAGTTGGATGATATAGATGTTCCTTTAACAAATATTAGGCCAGTCAAGAAAGTTGCTCTCGTTGTGATGACTGGAGATAGAGGTCTTTGTGGGGGTTTCAATAATGTTATGCTGAAAAAGGCTGAGGCCCGGATTAAGGAGTTGAGGAATCTTGGATTGGATTATTATTTGATTAGTGTTGGAAAAAAGGGCAATGCTTACTTTCATAGAAGGGATGGTTTGTTTGTGGGTAGATTTGTCGAGAGCGGGGGATTTCCTACTTCTAAAGAAGCTCAAGTGATTGCTGATGACGTTTTTTCTCTGTTTGTTAGTGAGGAAGTTGATAAAGTTGAGCTACTGTATACCAAATTTGTGTCATTGATAAAGTCTGATCCAGTAATTCATACTTTGCTTCCACTGTCTGCTAAAGGAGAGCTTTATGATGTAAATGGCAAACGTGTTGGTGTAGGCAAAGATGAGTTTTTCCGATTGACAACAAAAGAAGGGAGATTGACTGTGGAGAGGGATCGCCCAATTCGAAAAAAGAGGGAATTTTTGCCTAATTTGGAGTTTGAGCAAGACCCTGCTCAGATTCTTGATGCATTGATGCCACTTTATTTAAATAGTCAGATTCTGAGGGCATTGCAGGAGTCATTTGCTAGTGAGCTAGCTGCAAGGATGAATGCAATGAGCAATGCCACTCAGAATGCGGTGGAGTTGAAGAAGAACCTTTCCATTACTTATAACAGGGAAAGGCAAGCTAAGATCACAGGGGAGATCTTGGAAATTGTTGCTGGAGCAGAGGCACTTATTTAGTTTGTTTCGGTTTTGGCTATGCAATCTTTAATTCATTGTATGATCTCTTCTATGATTCTATCCCAAGCCTCTCAATTCCAAAACTTTTGAATCCGTTCAATATGCTTATTTCACTACTTTATTAGGCGGGGATGAGATGGACCGCTTTCTAACAGCAATCAATCAAATAAGGACCATGGTTTTTAATGTGGTATCGGCGGGGTAGGACGGAGGGTTGCCAAATTAAATCCATTTTTAGATGTAATTTGCAGTGTAAAAGGAGCAGAACTCCAAATCCATTTCCTTATTGGAAGAAGAAGTCCTAAAGGAGCAGAACTCTGCTCCAAATCCATTTCCTTATTGGAAGAAGCCCTAAAGGGAGCAGGACTTGGTCGTGGTCATGGACCCTATATAAAGGACAGGACCTACATCGTTTTCACTACATCGTTTTCACTACAACACAGAGAGAGAAACACTAGTCTAGAATTGAACATGGCGGAGGTAATAAAAAGCAGACCAATCCACCGTTGTCCACCCCCTCCGAGTCTATACCCCTGGCTTGTTTTCTTTCATGGCAAAAATATGGAAAACCAAACCTTTTATTGCCTGTCTCAGCCCAGTACCAAATACGTTAGATCAATTCTTGAGTTGCAGAACAAAAGATTTTGGCTGTCATCCCACGGCTGGTTAGTTTTGTCAGAAAAAACTCAGTTTCATCTTTGGAATCCAAAATCTTTGGAATCAATTTATCTCTCTCCTTTGGACCTGCAACCTAGACAACATGTCGAAGGTATCCTATTAACATCGTCTCCTGCAAATCCCGGAAGCTTTCTCTTGTTATTTTTGGCTAATCCTCAGAGCATTGCGTTCTGTTACATCAAAGACCAAAGGTGGACTATAAGAAGCTGCAGCAAAGAAGAGATCAATATTATAAGCGGGACCGACGATGGTTGGCGTCATTTTTGTTTGCCAATTGTCTGCAATGGTAGAATATATGCTACTGCCTGTTGCAGACGTCGTCTGGCAGAGATTGAGATTTTCAAACAAAGGCTTGTTATAAGATCTCTTCACTGTCAGCTACCTCTTTTTCAATCCGTATGCGATCACGTAAAAATGTACTTGGTGGAATCCGATGGGGATCTCTTTGCGATAAATTTTGAGATACACTCCAGGGAAGCAATGAATATTGATGTTTTCAATTTGGATTTCCCAACTAGGAAATGGAACAGAGTGGGCAGTTGCCCAGATAGAGCTTTTTTCTTGAGCAATGATGAAGCAATCTCATGCCGAATTATGATAACTGATATAGAACGAATGGGAAATCGAGTTTACTTCACACGTTACCAAGGGACTTCCCTATACTCCTACCACATTGAAGACAAAACTATCTCAATGTCTTCACCTTGTCCAGATTTGTCGACATCCTGGAGCACACCAATTTGGGTGTTGCCTGACCCTGAGGGGACCGAGTACCATCATCATCCAGGCGGAGATCAAAAAGAGAATGGAAAAAAGGATATACAAGTCGGAGCAAATGGACATTGTGAAACTCAGGAGAAACTTGAGGAAGCAAATAGAACAAATTTGAACGGGAGGATCAGAAAATGGATCAGATAATGGACGAGGAAGAGGAAGGAAGCTCAGACAATGGATGAGGAAGGAATAGGAGTGCGAGTTGAATCACACTTGGAGAGAAGGAAATGGGTGTTGTGCGGATAGCCTGGCAGATAATGGACGAGGAAGAGGAAGGAAGCTCAGACAATGGATGAGGAAGGAATAGGAGTGCGAGTTGAATCACACTTGGAGAGAAGGAAATGGGTGTTGTGCGGATAGCCTGGCAGGCCACCTGATGTTGTTAAGAAGTGCTTAAATGATTATGCAAGGGAAGTTTGAATGATCTTGGTGGTGAATGATGATGCAAGGGAAGTTTGAATGATCTTGGTGGTGATTTAAGTATTGGCCAAACTCAAATCACAAGTCATCAAGTGATAACCGTGCATGGCTGTAGCTCTTTTTAAAATTCAAAAAATTTCGACATTAACTTTTAAGTTCTTCATTTTCTCTTTTAAATAGAGTCTCTCTCTAGCGAGACCCAAAAAAAGAGTTTTACTTCCATAAAATTATTTTTCAGTGATTAACTAGAATCTTGTCAACTATAAATGTTAACTAAGTTTAATATGTACTTCAATCCCCAAGGCGTAAGATTATTGTATGTTGCAGTGTAACAACTCCAAACACTAACGAACTGCAGCCAAAGCCCAAAGGCAAAAATAACCCAAGTAAATCGTACTAAAACTGTACATTAGCATTGTGACAAGTAATAATGCAAATTCAAATATTCAATCTTCTTTGGCCATTTCAACATCTAAATTGAAAGAAAAATGTCAACTCTTCTAGACACTTATAAGTCTTTTATGAGAACTTTCGGTCATGGAGAACATGTTGCCCCAGTCTCGTTGTCTCATGTGGAGCATTGCTGGGGTTTGGAACTGCTATAGTATGCATGGTGAACGCAGTGTAACAGAATGTTTCATTTCGAGGGGTCCAAAAGAGACAGATAAATTGGACTTAAAACAGAAGACATCTGCAAGTTTTTGGATTCCATATTAGCTTCAAAGAATTTGGAATTTTGGATGACTGACCAGTATGAAGGTCCAGTAACTGATTTTGCTTTGGCATACGCAAATTGCGCAGAGTTGGAGGACAACTTGCCTTCTTATTAGTAATTAAATTAGCTGGCGGACAAACATCAGAACAAGCCTGCATATAAAAAATTGACTGAATTAGAGGGACAGAATCGCCCTAACCTGTGGGACCTCGTACCGCCGTACTACTTAGTTGATGGCGGCTGCTAGTGATTCCAGACGAGATTTGGTATGTGACAGCCCACCTCCCCTAAGGCCGGATTTGCGACGTGGCAGTCACTATTCATCCTTCGGTTTTGATTTTCGTTTGTTTCGTGGTTGTTGAATCGTTTAAGCGTGCTAATATATTTCGGAACGTTTTAATTTGTGTATACCCGTCTTAGTAGTCCTGGCGAAAGTTAAGTAGGCGGTCCGCCGAATCCTTTGGTTCGGCTTAGAGGAGGTGGGGCTGTCACATGGTATTACGAGCAAATGAATCTACTGAAGAAACATGAATATGTCCTCCTCTATCACCAAAGATACTCTTCTTCAAATTTGAAGAAAAGGGAGAGGTCGAAATAGTTTAAATTGGAATTTTGTCATGCTGGAATGTCCAAAGCTGAAGGCAGCCGCATTCATTGAATGGCGGCCATGCCTCTTATACGTCAATGTAGAAGCCAGTTAGCCAACAGCTAATTTCGGGGGACTCATTTTCAACGAGCAAGACAAAGAAACATGCTGCATTATTATTTTATAAAGCAAAACCTTTGCTGGAAGAATTAACTATTTTACAAGATTTAATGCAAAAAGAGAAGTTATCGTCCTGAAAGATTTTTCTTGTTGCTCTAGAAATTTTCTTATGTCACGTTGAGTATCATGTTTATCAGATGTTCTTTTTTATCATTTTAAGCTAAGATGATTTGCCCACCAAATTTGACCTCTTGCTGGAGTTAAAATTTACGTACCTGTGGCTGTGGGTCTGGGAGTGTGGGTTATTGTTGTTTGTGGAATACACTGATTGGAAGGAGAATAGACAGACAAATATTACTACTTATAGCAGAGTCATGAGAACATATGGCATCATGATTCTTTTCCTATTATTATGCAGATAGTGAAAAGAAACAAGTTGGATCCAAAGATATGCTTAGATTTGGATCGGATATCCATTTCACTGAGTCAATTGATGTCAAGGGCTTAACCTGATTAGTCGAAAATGGTCTGGACCCATCTTTATAATCAGTGGGATACTGGATGGAAACCTCCCTCCCCTTCGCGAGGGGACCCTTTACTGTAAAAAAACCATAGATCACTTGAAAGAAATGCTTGAAGGAAATTCCACGGCAAGTAACCAAAGCAACCAGTCGTTCAGAGCAAAACAGCAGGCGGATGATGAAATCAAGGTTTGAATATACATATGATAATATTAGATTGTGGAAAAACTACATGTGCATTGCACTCAGCAGCACCATTACCATTACAGGTGGTAGTTGTCTTTCAGAAAGTATCCGGATTTTAGTCTTACAAAGTTCAAATGAAGTCCAAATCAGAGAAACAACCGGGAAAGGTTTTTGATGCTTGACTACATAATTTTCTATACCTTTATGACGACATTAACCACCTTCTTCAGGAGATTATAAATCAATAAAATAATTATGGGTCTCCCTACTATTATTGGCAGAGTCACCTCCTCATTTCTAATTGAATCTATTTATCATAGTGTTGTGCATTCTCCCCCGAGTCCGGAGCCACTAACTATTACAGAATCAGAAAGTTAATCCTCATCTTGTGTGAACTTCCACTTCATACTCTTCCAATCTTCTATCCTTCAAACTTTTTGAGACATATTGTCTTCTTTTTTGGCTGGGAGATTGGAGGCTCTTGTCTTGATATAGGATATTTTTAAGCATACAAAGGGGTCCTGTAGTCTTTGTTAGGTAGATACAAAGTGAAACGCATATAATACTTGCAGATGTTATTCTGACCTTTCACTATCAAGATTCAAGAGTGAGTCATTTAAAAAACAAGGGAAACGCATGCACACACGTTATTTAGAGAATTTCTAGGATTGGCCGACTTCTGCCATCTCTCTTGGTGGCTATCTACTTTCAGCAGACTTCCCAGCTTCATTTGATGTTCATAAACTGTAGGTGAGAAACTGATTCTCTAAGCAGAAGTAATGCTTTAAGCTTCTAAATCTGCTAGCCGGTCCCTTATGTTGCTCTCCCTTTCTTTCTCAGAGATACACACACGCATCACACATCACAATCTCGCTCACGCAGCATTTCTCACCCGATAGATTGTTGAAATCACTGTCTCAGATTTAGAGCTGCAATTCCTGAATCATGACTTCTTAACTCAGCGAACTGTGGATTCTCTCTGTAAAAACTTTTGATTGCACGGGATTTGCCTAGTAAAAAGATAATTCCACTCTCTTAAAACTTTGGATGCTTTCTGAGATTGTTGGTTCTGAGGTGGGAAAAGCAACAGTGAGAGATCCTCTCTTTTCTACTTGGAATAGCATGTATGCACCTGTCTTTTTTGGTTAATGGATTTAGCCAGTTGACTTAATTGGATTTTGTGTTTTCAGGGGGATGTCATCAGCTGAAGGCAAGTATAGCTTGTACAGGCAAGGCAGCTCTGGTTGGTCAACCTTGAGGAATGAAGAATTTCAAGAAGAAGATGTCTGGGGTATTCTCGGGCGAAGTAAAGAATTGAAGAAGTCCAACTCTGATTCCTACAGAGAATCGTCCTCTATGGTTTCGAGGCGCCGGCCGACTGCATCGAGAATGATTCCAAAAGCCACCAGTAGTAATTCTGGGACCGAACCCAAAATTATTCAACAGTCAGCCCCTGTTAACATCCCTGATTGGTCCAAGATTTATGGAAGCAGCTCCAAAAAACCATCCAATACTGTTTCACGGCTTGATGATGATGATGATCACGGCAATAGCGATGGCGTGATGTATAACAGTTGGGACAGTGATGAAGAAGAGGAAGATGATGGCAGTGTGGTTCCACCCCATGAATGGATCGCCAGAAAGCTTGCAAGGAGTCAAATAACCTCATTTTCTGTGTGCGAAGGTGTTGGAAGAACACTCAAAGGTAGAGATCTGAGCAATGTCAGAAATGCTGTGTTAACCAAAACAGGATTTCTTGAGTAACTATTTGTGATGGACATGATTAACATTGTCATGATGGTGATTCTGTTTCATCAATATGATTGGTAATGTAATACTGCTAGTAAATATGGGTCCCTGTGAAATCATGCTGCTATTATCTTATCGCAATTCAATTGTACAGGTTTGTCTGCCTGCTTCAGGATTTCTGATTAGACAATTTGCCTTATTTGGTATAAATAGACAATGTGCTTCCTGTATTTAATACCAGTGTATTTTCCTGTTAGGTTAGTGCTGCTGTGGGTAAGAGATTAACTGCTTGCCCTTCAAATTAAAAGTGAACTAATAAAATAAGTACGTGATGTTGATAATTTTTCATTTCTGTTTTTCTATTTCTTCTTTTGGTTACCAATGGGGTTAACTGCATGGAGATCAATCAAAACTTGTTCTTCGACAAAAAAAAAAAGGGTTCCAATATCCACTACCACTGGCGCTTTATTCGATGTTTAAACTACTTTATGATTCTTGCCTCTCCTTAATGCAAAATAGTTTGTTTATTGCTAGTCTGAATTTTGCAAGTTTACCTCTCTTTTTTTTTTTCTTTTTCCTGATCAATAAATTTCACCTAAAGCACGTATACGACTTTCATACAACGACAATAATAGATACAACCAGACAAGGAGTACAAAAAGTATTGCTAGTACCTTTGTCCAACGGTACCTTTACTCGTGTTCATAAAGAAAATACCCAAATTTAGAAGAGGACAACGAAAATGACATTATCGAAGAGTAAAAACAAGGTGGCAATGGGAAAAAAAAAAGTTGTGTATTCTTATATTGTGATATAACATTTAGTACAAATAAAATTGTGCGACCGTCGCCCTAGGGAGCGAAAATAAAAAAAGGGCCCTCCCTCGTTTTTCTTGATTTTTATTGATTAGTTTTCATTTCACCGTATTAAGCTATAAAATTCCAATTTTTATAAACTTTTTTTTTTTTAATAGAAGCCACCACCCTACGCAACTCGTCCTTGACAATTCAATTATAACCAGAGAGAAAAAAGGGAACATTTTTTAACATGATACCCACCATACTATTCAATGTACACTCATTGCCTCGTTGAAAATTAACAAGGCATGGCCGTAACACACAAAATCAGACTTGGAAATTTTGGAATTAAGCGGGCGCAAATATATATTTTCTGCAGCTGAAAATAATTTAATTGCGTGTCTAAAGTCACAGGAAGAGTATCTAGTTGCTTTCTCGTAATCAAACAGAAGAAGAAGATGTCACACATGCAGCCAGACACATTACATCATATTTTGTCTTCACACTTCATCTTTGAAATTTCTTTTCTTTTGGTTTTGGTAATGACATTTATTATCATTTTTGATAGGTACGTACACTACGTAAAATATGAGGCTCTAGACGAAGCTGAGTTCAGGCTCCACCAAGCTAGAAATTGCCTCAATTTCTCTGTTCTTGAAACTTTCCACTTCTTTCAGGGCCAGTGCTCTCAAATTTTCCACCATTTCTCGCACTCCCTTTTGATTTCTTCCAATTCCATATAGCATTCCTTGTATGGTTCCGGCATAGAGTCCATAGCTTCTCAACTTCTCGATTTCTGCCTCGCTGCCTATGTTTTCAGAACCGGACCGGATAGCGACTCGGCCGAGGTCAGGGGTCAGGGGTCAATGGGTTCGACCGGGGGTCGATAGGGGTCGAACCGGATGACGTCATAAATAAAAATTATTTTAAAATTAAAATGTTATATATATAATATCTAATAATATATTGATATTAATAAAGGCATATTCATATATATTTGATGTTTCAAATATATTTAACAAGAAAATACAAAGAAATTAGAACAATCAAGTAGCAATTTATATTATTTAATAAATATTAACAAGTTTAGAATTAAAATTATGAATTTAATTGAAAAATAACATCAAATTTTAGGACAATATTTATAAAGTATCAAATATTTGAGGTATATCAATAAGTTTTAACAATTTAGGGGGTCAAAACATAATATTAAAAAGTTTGAATTTTTTTTTAAAAAAATACTGTTGAACCGGAAAAACCGGTTTTTTCCCGGTCAAACCCGGTCAAACCCGGTTTTTGACCGGCTTTGACCGGGTTTTAAATTTCCGGTTTTCTAATGTGACTCGGACCGGCTACCTGGCCGGTTCCCGGTTCGACCGGCCGGTCCGGTCCGAGTTTGAAAACAGAGCTCGCTGCCGCCTCCTAATATTGCTCCACAAGCTGCAGCACAAGCATGCAGTTCACCTTCTTTCTTCCTGCTCACATACTCAATCGAGCTCGCATCGACCGCCCCTTCCTCATCCGATTGGCTGATGATGAATTCCCTGAATTGGCCATCCACCACCCCTGCGATCCTGTGGCCCTGGCGATTTCGGTCATTACCCTCAACACCCGATCCGGATTGTTTTGGGCTGAATACAGCGAATCAGCCAGCAGCTCGAACCCAAATGGCACGATTCCGTCCCCGGTCAGGAGCTCAATATTGGGGCCGAACTTACGTTCCGTTGCGGGCTTGGTCTTGGGCCTGGTCCTGTCGGTCAAGGGAAGCTGCTCGTGAGCAGACGCAGCTGCATGCATGAGCTGAATAGCAGACGCCGCAGCCATGGCCTGGCTCCGGTGGCCGCCGACGAGTTCACAAGCAGCAATGCACAGGGCCGGGGCTGTGGTTCTCGGCGCTGCAAAGGCTAGATGATGCATGGGCTCGAAGACCGAAACCGGATGCCGGATTGGGATGGCTTCCTTTAGATGTGTTTCGACGTCCGCTTCGATATTTGCCCAGTAAGGTTGCTCTCGGGACATTCTGACCACCAGAGGCCTGTAACATACTGACGAAGGGCTAAGAAGATTTGATGTGGAGGACCCGAAAAGATTCGCCCTTCCATTGCAAGTTGAAAGAGCTCTAGCCATCTTCTCTTCGCTTAGATAGGAGTATATGGAAATGATATAGTACTACCGCTGACGACTCCGGATCTTGCGGGCTAATATTTTTTTTGCAACTGGTGCGGGAGACTTCACTCTTTATGGCTTACTCTTTATAGATGAAGTCAAGATTTCGTTTTTATGGCTTACTCTTTCTTTTTTTCTTTTTTTCTTTTTTTGGGTGGTGGTGGTGCATGAGCACGCGGGCACGGGTTTGTGAAGCTGGAGGTCTCTGTTTACGTAACAATTATTGATACTGCCTTAGGTCTCACGCTATTTTAGTAATGGTAATGGAACCGCGTGAGACATGAGCGATTGATTGACATTTTTCGCCAACTAACGTTTGGTTGGACGTTTCATGTGTAGAATGGTTCACATCTCTGCACATGACAGAGCCTTATAGAAAGAAAGAGTACGTGTAAGTAAGTTGTAGTAGTATTGAATATGTTTTTTCTTTTAAACGTTTTTTTTATGCAAGAGACAATTGTCCGAGGAATGGAGGATCAAGCAGCACAGATGCGTACATCAAAACTTCTTTTCACTTGTTGTACTGGATATGTTGACATACGACGTACGTACAAATGATTTTGATTTCAGGGAAAAGGAGGACCACAGAGAAGAAGATGTCTAGGTTTTACAATACTACTACTATATTCTACCAAACGGAGCTGATGAATTATCTTTATATTTATCGTCAAAAAAAATTTTCTTCTTTTTTTTTTAAATTTTGCTGGACCACTGCCCTTTTTATTGTGCTGTAAACTAGGCAAAATGTATGTGGTTGATTGATGCACTAGGCCCCACGGGTTTAATCACATGGTAGCAGCGTTCCCTTGGAACCTTTAGGTTCCGGGTTTGAAACTGCGCTATGGGGACGCCTGTGTACTTATTGTGCCTTGGTCGGGTTGGAGGGTCGGACTCTGGTTACAGAGAATTAGTCGGACCCGTAAGGATTGACTTGGACACCCTGTGTCGACAAAAAAAAACAAAAAAAAAAAAGATTGATGCACTAGAGCTAAACCGACAAAACTGACCATTTGCAGTGGATAATCCATTTAGACGTTTCCGGCACGTCTCTTATCTTTCAAGGGGGGAAAAAATTAAAAATACAAACCAGTCCCTCTCCCTGTCGTCGACAATGTCATAACGAAATATATCTGAATAATGGCTTCTTTTTTTATCTTACATGTAAATTCCTTCCTCGTCACTTTTAATGATAAGTATTTGGGAATATTTCATGGATTTCCTCCAAGGGAAAAAAAAAATTACGCGCTGAATAGCTATGGGAGTATATTTAAAGGGTTAGCTAAGGAGTCAGTCCATTTCTCCCAAAATTTACATATTGCTTCAGTAGTGATTAATTTCACTTTTTAATAGTATATGCTCTATAACAATTCTTGTAACGGTCTAGAGACAAGACAACATTATGACTCAATTCCACTTGGCACCATGGAGAGATCAATGAATTTGGGACTATTTCAGTCAATCAACAATAGTTACGTTATTTTAAACTTGCTTTCAATGCTTATGACGTGAAGATCTCGAGGCATTATTATGATTCAATTTCACTTGAAACCATGAAGAACCCCGTTCGAACAAAATTGATCGGCTCACCAAGTTGATCGGTTGAACAGTCGATTCGTCAATAAATTTATTATTTAAATAATTCGATTAAAGACTTAATTCAATTTAGTTACTGGTTCATTGAATTGATCGGGTTAAATCATCGGATCGGATAAGGTTTAATAACACTAATGAAGAGGTCAATGTTTTTCTTTCTTTTTTTTTAATAAAATAAAATTGTCTACATTTATATGACTACTAAATTAATCTATATATTAAGGGAGAGCCTAATTGAGGAAAAAGGAGCTAGAGGGAGATAAACCAACCAAAGAAGTGTATCGGCACACACCTTTGAATTTAATCGGAAATGTCAGGACACTGCCCTAATCCGAGTTGAGGATAATAATTACCAAGCCAAAATACTCCGGCCAATCAAATCAATCTTGTCGGCATATGGGCCTAACCCATGTGCCTCGATTGACTCGTGCACGGAAAATGTTATGCATAAACAGCGCTTGGTGCATATCCATTTAGCTTTGAGACAGCTACGCCCAGAGCCCATGTGTTCAATGCATTGTGACACCGTACTGGGGGCTTTACAGGAAAAAAAGTAGATTTAAAAAAGACAAAGTAGCACAATGTACACGTCCCAATTTGCGTTGGACGTGGGCTTCCTAGGCTCAGTTACGGGGCTCCACACGAGTGAGGTTGTGAATACTTGTGATTCGCTTGCAGCCCATTTCCCCCACCAAACTTGCTGAACCATATATATATATATATCTTACATATATATATAACAAACGCAATTTCATTCCAATATTTACACTAATGGCAGCAAC